TGTGGGTTAGTGTGTGTTCAACCAGCAGCATTAATTAAGTCTCAAACTTTTGCCCCTCCTAAATGAAGTGCCTCTCTGCCCTTCCTCCTGACAGCTGCTCACCTCCTTTCTGTCTTGAGGGACTTGCTTGTCTTGGACATCTCTGGAACCAGAAGAAACAATGTTGGGAGCTTTGCTAGGGAGCAACTCAGAGGCAGCTAGAGATTTCCTTCAGAGGACTGGTTTTCACCTCCATAATTTGCATTAAAGAACAGGCATGGGCTAAGGAGTGCACACAAAATGTATAAATGCCATGATTTTTTAAAGAGTCCAAATACTGTTTAAGACAGTTTCTCCTTTTCACTTCCTTTGTGGGACTTGATGATGGCTAAGAAATTTTTTATAAGTTTTGATTAGAGATCAATTTTAATAACTAAGGTGCTTGTATCTCTATTTTTAATAAAATACTCATACATTGATTTTTTTTATTTTGGGACTAAAGTTTATTTGCTTTGATGAGGATGGGACATCTCCCTGAAATATATTGCTTTCTTTATTTTTTAATCCTTACAATTACTTTTTCTTCAAGGAGGCAGTTATAATTTGTGGGCATTGGCAATGTTGATCACTTTGTCCCTTTCCATAGCAGGATTTCTCTTTATTGCCCTCTGGACCCCTAAGTGTCTCTGAGATGAATAGAATCTCACACTTCTACTCTTTTCAGGGTCTTGCTCTATGCTAGCCCCTCTGGGAGCACCAGAAGTGGAACAGGAATCATTACTTTGGAAATATGTCAGCTCTGTCTCTAGATAAATGAGGATCCTATGTGTTGCACAAAACAATGTATTAATATTATAAAGGCTCCACAACATATAAATTAATCAATAGACACTCTTAGCTATCTGGCTTTGTCTTTGTCCTTAGCTATCCTACTGCCTTCTTCAGAGTAGTAAAGAAGTCACCAACACAGAGGAAATCATTCTATAAATTGTAAAGTACCATACTAGCAGAAAATATTTTGCAAGCCTTCTTACAATGCTCTTTGGCCTCCATAGATTTTCCCCTCTTCTCAGGAGATATTGTGGGAAAAGGTTCTGTCCTTCGTTTTGGACTACAGACCTTCAGAAGCCCCAGCTGGAGATCTTTATAAATACGTAAGAATTATACATTCAGAAAGAAAAGATGCACTGACCAAATACCTCATTATTTTTTCAAGTACATTCTGCAGTAAATACTCAGGAGCTCTCAGAATATACCAAATAAATGGTAAAATAACCTAAGAGGAAAGAAAGTAATTTCATCCTGACCTTCAACAGGTTAAATATCTGAATCTGCAACCCTAAAGCTGTTCGTGGTTACTGCAGATATTCTGTGCACTCAAGAAAAGCATTACCCCTGAAACCAACAACATCACTAGTAGTCTGCTGCTGCTGAGATAAAGACACTTTTAACATTTAAAAATTGCTAGTAATATTTCTCTTAATCATATTTTCAATGCCAATTATGAATATTAGTAAATTGACTTCTTTTCTTTCAGATATATATATACATACATATATACAAATTCATATATACATGTCTATTATATATATATTGGAGTATTTAATATATTATTAAATTGACTTCATTTCTTTAAGGGATATATACATGTATATATCTATATCAGGCTATTTAAATAAGCATTTAATTCTCATGTTGAACTGATGAGAATTTATTTTTATTTATTCTCAGCAGCAATCTCTGTGTTGCTGGAAATGGCGTTGATAGGTTCCAAGCTTCAGCAAGTGCTTATTGAGCAAAATCATAGAGTACTGCATTGCACCAGTCATTGAGAAAGATAATCCCTACTTTTGAGAAACTCAGAAACAGGTAAGCTAATAAAATAATCAAGTAAAAACTTTCCCAATATTATACATGATAAATGTTTGCTATTTTGGTGGTACCAAACCTTAGTTTAATTTTATTTTATTTTCAGAAAATAATAAAAATTATTTTCTCAGTAATAAACACACATAATGATAATATTTGGAAAATTCTGTGTTTATTAGGAAATATGTGCCCAAAGCATCAGCTCTGTGGGAAAAAGCTGTATTTTTATAGCTCTGGGTGAAGGTAATTACTGCATAGTCATTAACAGGGATCCACAAACCCATCCACCCACAAATAAGTCACAAATGTGTATTTCTCCCCACATTTTCATCAGTCACTCATACTGTGTGATTATAATTTTATAACTGCTCAAAATCCAGTAAATCAAAAATACAAAAATACAAACCATCTTTCTTCAGGCACAAGTGAGGAGAGAGAAACAACTATGATCCACTTCATATAAGTCCCAGGCCCCCCAAGAGAGTCATGATGTCATTAAAGAACCAATTCACACATCCTTACTTACATTTCCTGCCACCAGGTGGGAGGCCAAATCGCATTTCCTGGGAATCAGAACATTGTAAAAGGGGGGGGGGGGGAGAAGATAGGTTTGGTTCACAACCTGTGACCCTGGTAGCTACTGCAAAAGAAAGCATGAGCCTCCTTTTAGCAGTCTCTAGTGTCTGCATAGAACTGCAGCTAGTAGGTCCTGAAACCTTACCAAATGCTCCAAAGAGAACAGAGTACAGGAAAATGGTGGTTATTTATTTGTTTGTTTATTGAAATACCAGCTAGCAATATTACCTGGGAAAAACTTGCAGTCATATTCTCAGCCACTTTCGTTTGCCTCTTTCTTCTTTTAAATTTACAAGCTAGTTTCATGCTTGCTTTGAAGGATTTCTTTGGAAACTGAGACTTGAGATGGTGTGTGTGTGTGTGTTTGTGTTTTTCCAAGATTTCCTCAAGGAGGCAGTATTTGAGAACACACTTACCCCAGCTAACAAGACAATCTATTTGTATTGAATGTTAAGATGCAAGTCAGCTATTTGTAGGTGCCACTTGCTTGAAATAATGCAGAAGAAAATGACCCTATCACTGAATATCAACTGTTGCTAACTGCACCAGAGGGCAATTGCATATCTGCATGGGAGATGTTGAGGAACTGAATTCCTTATCGATGTGAGCATTTACCTACATCTTTTGCATCCTTGGAATCTGCAGGAGCCTTTAGTAGTTTATTTACAGGTCCTTCCTGATGGATAGTTAGGGTTCCTAACTCCATTCTATAGATAATGGGAGTTAACAAATGCCTGACTCTTTTGAGGGTAAAGTCAACCCCCTGGGGTCTTTGTCTCCTATGAATGCCGTCTCACATCAGTGAGGCACCAGCCAGTATATGTGGATCTGCACAATATAAATGAAACTACCCTGATTCCCTTGCCTTGATCCTCTATAGCTGGCAACAGACATTTTCCAGTCAAGCTGGTAGAATATTCTTTCAGAGATAAGGAATGATTTTCACTGGGGATTGGGAAAAGGGGTCCTGGCCCCCAGTCTGCCTTCCTGAGGCCCAAGGGAAGATGCCTTCACAGATCATCCAGGTAATTACAGAGCTAGGCCAGTTATTCAGCCTGGTTCCCAAATTTCACTCAAGATGGCCACGGGTCAGGTGATTCTTGCTCATCTCCCACTCACCAGTTTAGTACAAACCATTCTAAAGAGACAACAGTTAGCCTTGGGGTTAGGATGACCTTCCTGGTTAGCTGCCCACCATCACTTTCTTGAAATCTCACCGAGGAAGGGTATCTGCTGGAAGGTTAAAGAGCCATCCCTGATTTTTTAATTGTCCAGGTCACTATCACTGCATTGTATTTATTTAAATAAATTTCCAACCTTTTGTCTTCTTTGAAACTTTCACTGCAGACTTTATCACTGCAGATACCTGGCAAGCTATTTCATGATGCCAGTTCTACCCCCACACCCCTGCAGTCTGCATTCTACAAGTGTGCAGTCCACAGCAGTAGGATCCCCAAGACATGTCCCTAGCCCTGCCAAGCAGCAGGATGGGGCTGTCGTTGTTGGCATGTCGTGTTTATTTGCTTGTGAGTTTTTCTTAGGGGGCAGCAAAAGTGAGGCACTATCGTAATTTTCACGTTTTAGATTGTGTGGACCGGAGAACCGGAGAAAATCAGATAGATGGGAGGTAGACATTGAAAACCTTCCTCCCTCCTCTAGCTTCTATTGGTGCCAGAGAACCCTTCATTCATATCCCCCCCCACCCGCCCCGAGTTAAGTGCAGTGTTTCACAAGGAATTGCTGTAGAGCGGGAGAGATGAAAGTTGCGGTTCACACACTCTGCTCACAAAACCCAACTCGTGTTTTCACGTCTCTAAACACAGACTGCAGTACTATTCCAACTGGTCCTGGCTCGGGATGACAGCTGCCCGATTTGTGACGCCTTGCGTCTCTGTATCACTGTGTTTGCACCTACCTGCTGGTAAATCCTGCAGACAGACAGAATGGTGCCTACAACACACGCATGCTCTCCCCCTCCTCCCAGCTAACCTTGCCCTTCCCCTGCAGTGCGCGTGGGCGCCGCCCTTCCCCTCACCTCTGCCTGGAGTACCAGGGCCCTGCAGTGGACTGAGGCACCAGGGACCTCCCTAGAATACCTTCAGCTGATGTGCCCCCTCCTCCTCAGTGGCAGGGAGGGGGCCCAGCAGGCAGAGGCTCTGCAGCTTGGGCCTCTGCGGCAGTGACTATGGCAGAGGTGTATCCCATTTCCTTCCTCCCTCAGTGTCATCCACTTAAGTACCTTGAGCCAGCCCCAAATACTTCAGGTATCTTGCGTTCCCTGGGGGTGCCTCTCAAGGCTTTTCTCAAGATATAGATGCCCACTGCACTGTCACTTCCTCCCATGGGGGAAACAATTCTGACTCCCACTTCTGCTGTCTCCTCTTTTCCTAACCCCAAGCAGCTTACTCTTTTTTTTTTTCCCACATGTTGCTTCCCGCCTCCCAACCACTTCCCGCTTCCCTAGGCTCTCCCATTCCTACATCTTTCTGGTCAGTGAGTGGCAGCCAAATGGATGCAAACTCCATAGCCAGCCTCCCTCCCCTTGCCGCCCCCCCCCCGAGGGTTCTTTTTCTTACCTTTATTCTGGACCATGTTATTTGCGGTCTGGGCGATGGCACTGGAGATGGCTTTAGACCTTTCTCTGCCGCGATCAACTGAAGCTGCAACAGTTGTAGTGCTAAACTCATCTCTGGACTCTCTGGAGTTAGCTCAAGGCAGAACTCTGAGGCCCTCTCCGTGGCAGGTTCTGGGGCTGACTCTAGGGCTAGCCCTGTGTCACGATCGGGGGTAGGCTCTCTAGTCGGTTCAGGGGCCAACTCTAGGGTTGGACCTGGGGCAGGTTCTGGGGTCGGCTCTGGGGCCGGCTCTGGGGCAAATTCTGGGACCGGCTCCTGGGCCGGTTCTGGGACAAGTTCTGGGTCCGGCTCTGGGTCCGGCTCTGAGTCTGGTCCTGGGTCCGGCTCCGGGGTAGGTTCTGGAGTTGATTTTGTGTCTGGTTCTGTGTCTGGTTCTGGAATCGCCTCTGGACAGGGTCCCAGAGCAGGCTCGGGCTCAGGTTCTGGTTCTGGTGGAGGAGCCGGCGGCGGAGGAGACGGCGGCGGGGGGGGCGGCGGCGGCGGCGGAGCCGCGGGGGCCGC